TCTGAGACCCGCCCGCGCTGACCTCCCGCCTGAGATACGAGGTTGCGGAAAAATCCACATTTCTAAAACAAATTCGACCGAGGCCCTGGACCACATCTCGTTGCTGCGTTTTTCGAGCCGCGTCGATGCGCGAGAGCCCCTGGGCACAGAAAAAGGCAAACCCGCCCGCTAAAAAACAAAATTACAACGCCTGGATCTAATGGCCGTTTCCTGCCGCGCGCCAAATCCCCCCCCACCCGCGGCCTTCGCCACAGTTCTGGGGAGGGGGGGGAGATCGAGGAAGAGGAGGAGGGAGGGGAGAATGGGGGGCGGATTTGTTTGTTTCCGCTGCACCCTCTCCCGCCAGCCGTGGCGAATCTTCCAGCGGGTGAGGCTTGCAAGACCCGCGTGCGCCAGCGAGGATTTGCATAGCCCACAGGTCCCGCGGGCCACCCGACGGGGCACGTGCCCCCGTGGCCAAGACCAGGAGGAGCACGTGCTCCGCGAACGGCGCGCGAACACACAGCACGCAAGGAGGCTGCGTTCCGACGCCCAACCTACCCACCACCCACTCCATGGGTGGCCGCTGGCGACGAGGAGCACTTGTTTCTCCCCTTGGCCCCCAACGGGCAAACAAAGGTGACGATCGGGTTGTTACCCGCCTGATGGTTGTTTCCTTCTTGCTCTTTTTTTCTCATGGGAGCGAGGAGGACGAGGAGGAGGTCAAGCTCGGGCCGGGGAGCGCGTGCACGTCCACAGCGGACAGGGCCGCTCGGGCCGAACTCAGCTGGGCCACGCGGCCCGCGGCGCAGGGAACATGGCGCTCGGCGCTCGCCTGCCAGGCACAGCCGTGAGGGGCGGCAAAAGGGCCTTGGCGAGGGCCATCCTGAGGATCTTCAACTCGCACAGGCTGCTGAAGATGCACCGCTAATCAATGTCGAAAGCAATGGCAGAGGTCTGGTAATGCATGGGATGCAAAATCGGCACCGAAGAAAAACTGACATGCCGGAGTAGGAGGTGTACGACGACTTGGAGGACATTGCAGTCAGCACAGATCTACGATGATAGGAGGAAAACGAAGACTCAAGAGGAGCTGATGGAACAAATGATTCGGGACACGATGGTGCTGTGCACTTCAGCCTTTGCCTTGTCTCATGATGCTTACGCCCTTCCCCCTCTACCTCAGCAGCCAGAATGGGCAACATACAAGGAATAACTTCAACATTCGCAACAGCTAGCGGAGGTGATTCTCAGTAAGGGAAGGAACCATGCACAAAAAACAATTGCTCAGGAGAAGGAGCTGTCGGTTTACATACTCACGCAGGACGAAAGATTTTCCTCGTGACGTCGAAGAAGACCACCCCCGTCCCCCGTAGAATCTGCACACGGGGGGGCCTGCGGTTGACGGATCTCACTCTTGTCGGTTACCGGAACGAACTCAATATTATACATTCAAAACGGGGTATAAATGGGATCCGCCGCAGAAAAGAAACATCCGATGCGCATCCCGAAAACCATAAACGGTATCCGCGCGCACGGAATTGGATCCGCGGCGATTTCACGATCACGGTAACGTTGGAAATCGGATCCGTGCGACACTTATTGGGTTCGCGGCTATGAATTCCCAGAAGGCCCGTGCACCGCGTGGGACCGTGAGGTTCAGCACCAAAAGGAAAAACTTTCGGCCTGGGGATGTATATATGTGGTCGAAAGCCAATTCACCATTGCAGCAGGAACCAGAAAGTTCGTGCCAGAATACTGAATTCGGTCCGGAGTCCGGAGGGGCTCACTACCGGTTCGAACCCCCCCTCCCCCTCCCCCCACTCACCGCATGCAAACGACTCCCGGGTCCCCACCACCGTCAGCGCCACATCACCCACCGCTGTCCACAGATCCACCGTCCCCACAACCACTGTCCCCATTGTTCCTACCACCGTCCCCACTGTCCCCACCAGTGCCCCCACCAGTGTTTAACTGTCCCCACTGTCCCCACCACTGTTCCCACCACGGTCCCACTCTCCCCACTTTCCCCACGGTCCCCACCACGGTCCCACTCTCCCCACTGTCCCCACTGTCCCACTGTCCCCACTGTCCCCGCCGCTGTCCCACTGTGCTGTCCCACTGTCCCCACCACTGTCCCACTGTCCCCACTCTCCACCACTCTCCCAACTGAACTATTGTCCCACCACCGTCCTCACCACCGCCTTCACGACTGTCCCCACCAATACCGTCCCCACCACTGTCCCACTGTCCCCACTGTCCCCACTGTCCCCACCACTGTCCCGCTGTACCCTCACCACTGTCTCCACCAACACCGTCCCCACCACTGTGCCACTGTCCGCACCAATGCCCCACTGTCCCCACACCACTGTCCCCACCACCACCGTCCCCACCACTATGCCGCTGTCCGCACCACTGTCCCACTGTCCCCACACCACTGCCCCCACCACCACCGTCCCCACCACTGTCCTAATATCCCTGGCCCCACCACTGTCCAACTGTCCCGAAGAGCGGGAATCGTTTGCCGGCGGCGATGGGGGGGGGGTTCGAACCGGTAGTCACCCCCCCGGGGACGGGTTGGGAACCCCCCGTGACCCCCCCCCCTGTTTTCCGCCAGCAGCGGTAGAACACGCTCTTTCCCATATTGGGAGGATTTGCTGCAGCAGGCATTGACGGATCAGGGACTACCTGCTGAAGCTGATCAGAGCATTTCAGAAAATGAGGGGCATGACAAGAGGAAATCTCCCACCAGGGCAGCAAAGTCAGAGTCAGAAACGGTGGATACGTTACTGTTCCACCTTCCCCACCTGTTCACCACCTCAGCGTCTCCGTAGTGGTGGCGCCTGGCCGCGGCCATTCCGATCATCTGTGACCGGGGCCCAAACTGCGACGCTTGGTACCCCTCCGCCACCGCCGGCAAAAGCTGAAGGACTCATCCTCACCCCAGGCTTGCGAGTCCGCTGGCGGCGTCGCTGCCTCCGCCCGCGAAAGCCAGCGCCCGATCCCAGCAGCTGCCGGGGCGCCAGTGGCCATGTGGGGCGCCAGTGTAGCACTCCTGACTTCCTCGGCTGGGCGGCGCACTTCAACCCTGTCGCAGCGTTTCGGGCGCAACTCGCCAGCCCTCTGAACAGGCGTTGCGCTCGGAACCAGCGCCCTGGCGCTCGCTTCGTGCCCGCAGGCGACCATCGCCTGCGAGGGCGGACTTGGGAACCTGAGTATCATTTATCCGATCCCCATCCCCAGCGGCGTGGCCTGGGCCCCACTGGCCGATTTACCCCCCTAGATGGGGATATAGGCCGTTCACTTCGGGTTTCGAGGGGTGCATCCCCAAATAGGGGGGTTATTTGGTGGGGGTCTCGAAGGGGATGGGGATGGGGATGTGGGTCGGATCAACGATACTTAGAATTCGGGTCTATGCCCCGGCTGGCGGGCCCGTCGACGCCCTGCCATGCCGCGAGCCCGCGGCGCCAGCCCGGCAGGTTGCAGCGCGGACCTGCGTGGTTCTCCGCGATCCGGCCCCAAGGGACCGCCAAGCACCTGGGTCCGGCCCCAGACCGCCGGGCACTTGGGGCCTCGAAGGCCCAGAGAAGCACTCGGGCCCACATGGGGCGGCAAAGAGGGGGAGAGGGAGGAGGATGGAAAGGGAGAGGCACTGCCGCGCCCGTGGCCAGCCCTTCGTTAAACATTCCGTTGTGCTGCGCCCGAGCTCCCATATGCGGAACACGCTGGTCCTGCGACCGCCCTCGCGACAATTTCTGGAGCGCGGACTGCTGGCGTCCCTGCGGAAGGCGCTCGGGGAGTTCGACGAGAGGGCTGCGAGCTCCGAGGCTGAGGTGGAGCAGCTCGCGGCAGAGCTAGATTTTGCGTCGCCACCCGCCTGAACGTGGCGGCGCCCACCTCGAGGCTCGCGGGATTGTCCCGACGGCTTGCTGCCGCGCCCAACGGCTCACAGCCTGGCCCGCGGGGTTGCCCCAACATTTCCGCGATCCGGCGGCGCCCAGCTCGAGGCCCGCGGGGTTGTCCCGACTTCTGCGCCCCGCCCGCCCACGGGGTTTTCCCAGCGGCCTGGCCCGCAGGGTTGCCCCAACGGCCAGCGGGGAACGTGCGCATGCTGGCAGAAGCGGCGAGGGAGCCAAGGAAAATAGACTTGTCCATGCCAGGAGGCAGGGGAGGTGCATGAGGAGAACATGCGGGATGGAGAGGAGGGGGGAAGCAGGAGGAGGTGGAGGGAAAGGACGAGGAGTAGAAACCCAACAAAAACGAGGAGGACGCGACGAGGGATGAGACGGACGAAGAGGAGTACGATGAGGAGGGCGCGCAACGGGGGGCGCGGGAAGGGCCTCCGCCAAGGCGAAGACGAAAGGGCGGGGGGGCAAGCTAAACAGATTCTCGTTTGGGGTCTTACCGTCGGAGTAATGTCCAATATTTTGTCTTGGAATTGTGCGCGCTGGTCTGACATATCGATCTGCAGCCATTACAGCAGATTTCATGGCAAGGCCTCTTCGACGACACAGTAATGTTCAACAACGGCCAGCTCCTCTGGACGTAGGCCTGAGCAGATCGTTGCTTGCGGTGCCTGTCTGGGTTCGTGAGCTACTGCGCCATCTTGTCGCATGTATTTTGTCTGCCCGCGCGCGGGCCCTTGCGCGGGCGCGCTGACGCTGCGGGCGAAACCACGACCCCACGGCTTGGCAAACAAAGCAGGAGGAGAAGGGTGACCTCCTCTAGAGGCCTCCTAGATGGGGTCGGAATAGATGGGGTCGGAGGATCGCGCCGCATCGGCGATGCATCGGCGATGCATCGGCGACGCATCGCCGATGTATCGGCGATGCATCGTCGACGTCGGCAATGCATCGGCGACGTCGACGTGAAGCAAATCGGGCCCCACATCGAGCCGCATCGACGATGCTTCGGCGATGCGGCGAGATCCTCCGACCCCATCTTCTCGGACCCCATCTGGGAGGCCAAATCCTCTGGCCTCTCTCCCCATCCCTCGCGCCACAGCACCCCACCCTGGTGGCCTCCGGCGTCCGGCACGAGCGCGAGCTCGCGGGCCTTGCCGCGCCACAGCGGCGCGGCCGCGGCGCTCCGCGACGCGGCCTCTCTGCGCCGCCCGGGCAAAGGGAAGGGGTCCTCCTCCTCCTCTTCCTCCTGCTCCTCCTGCTCCTCCTCCTCCTCCTCCTCCTCCTCCTCCATTCCTTTCCCTGACAAATAACTCCTCCCTGTCGCGCCCCGAGACGTGTCGGTAAGGCGGACCATGCGTTTCGCGTCAGACTTTCTCAACACTTATGACTCTTAGGCTGAAAATTTGCAAGAATGTCACTCGTGGCGGGCGGGCCACTTGCAAAATATGGCTCTCGCCTTAGCCCCGCGCACATTCGTCTTCAACGTCTGCGAGAGCAACACGGATGGAGGGCGGGCCGGTTGCAAAATGTGGCTTTGGTCTTAGCGCCGCGCACATTCGTTTTTCAGGATTGGAAAAGGTGCGCGCAGGGGGGCCCTCCGTTTCCAAAAAAATGTTCTCGCATGAACGCCGCTCGCATTCGCTTGAAAATACTGTGCTAATGTAAAGATTATCGTGCTTACCGTCCCATAAACTGTGTGTTGAGCATGCTGTCGGACTGTCAGGGCGCAACAGCTAAGTTGAAGTCCCAGGTATGGTGCTGCGGCACGATTCTGGACCGTCAACATGCAACACAAACGGTGATCCGCGGCATTGACATACCAGAAATTATGTTCTGACACAGCTCAGGACTTTCAAACGGTTGTCTCCCAACGGGGCATTTCCCCCAGTGAGACCAATTCCTTGTAGGGGCTCATGAAGAGGGGACTTGAAGGAAGCTTTATTGCACTATCGTTGATGAGGCTTGGGTTCGCTCTGGTCCTCCTCCTCCTCATCTCTCCTCCTTCTCCCTCCGCAAGGGGACGAGATGCGGTGGGGTGGTCACCCAGTGCTCGGCGCCCCGAGGCGGACGACGACGACCACGACGACGACGATCACGACGACGACGACGACGACGACGACTCTGACACTGAGATCCTGGCGTCGCAACTGTCACACAACCGGCGATTCCGTTGCCTTGGCTCGGGCCCTCGAGGATCCTCACAGATCGATCTGGCCCGGAAAACGTTTCAGAAAGATTGGTTTGGGGGCCCCGTATCATTTACGATGTTGGCATTCTTCGTCACGTTGGATCTGAAGAAGGGGGAACGTCAACGACGACGAGTGGACGACGACGACGAAGACGATGACGACGACGAGGGTCTCTCTGGGCGGAGGCGCCAATGCTTCTCCAGAAGCCTCCTCCCCTGGTGCAGAAGGATGGAGGCACGGCAGGGGGGGGAAGAGCAGCAGGGTGGGAAGATGGGAGTGGACTCGCCGCCTCCTCCTCCTCATCGTCCTCCTTATTTGCCACTCTCCTCCTCCTCCTCCTCCTCCTCATCCTCCTCCTCCTCCTCCTCCTCCTCCTCCTCCTCTCCCTCTCATCCGTTCTCTGATGTTCCTCCCTGCTGCTCCCTCATCCTCCATTTCTCTCCCTGCTATCGTCTTTTTCTTCTCCTCCTCCTACTCTTCTACCTCCTCCTCCTCAATCTCCTCCTCTCTCCTCCTTCTCTTCCTCCATTCCGACTCACTCTCCTTCTCCTCCTTTTCCAAGGCTTTGGAACTGTGCGAGAATCGGTTGTGCTAGCACAGCCTACCCTCACCGGACGAACGCCGATAGGTCGCGACGGATTCGATGGATTACTCGATTGCCTCTAACGGGCGGTATGTCTCGCATTATCGTCGTATCCCCAGCTCCGCCTGACCTCCGTCACCCTCCATTCCCTCGACGGCCCTGTTGCGAAATGTGCGTTGGGTGAGGGTGGAGGGGGGTGATGAAGAAGGGGCAGAGAACTCCCCGCCTTCCATCTCCGCCGCCTCCTGTACCTTCACCCGCATCTCTCCTCGTCTCTCCACTCCTCTGTCATTTCTTCTCCTTATGGATAACTTCTCACTGTCGCACCCCGAGGCCAGTTTTTAGGGCGGGCCAGGCGTTTCGCCTGAGATTCCCTTACCACGTATGACTCTGAAGCCTAAACATTGACAACAGTTTCGCAGATAAAGGGCAAAGTGTTGATTAATGGTTCTCGCATTAGCGCCGCGCTCATTCGTTCTAAGCATTCCCAGTAATTTCACGTATTGAGGGCGTCGTTTTCAAAATGAGGCTCTCGCATTAGCGCCGCGCACATTCGTTTGTAACATGTCCACTAATTTCATGGATTGGGGGAGGTTCCGTTTCAAGCTGTGGCTCTCGCCTTGGCGCCGCGCACATTCGTTCTAAATACTTGCAAGAACTTCACGGATTGAGGGCGGTTCCTTATCAAACTGTGGCTCTCGCCTTCGTGCCGCGCACATTCGTTGTGAACATGTGCAAGAGCTTCACGGGTTGAGGGCGGTTCCTTATCAAACTGTGGCTCTCGCCTTAGCGCCGCGCACATTCGTTTATCAACTGTGCAGGAGTTTCACGGATTCCCATGATCAACGTATCAGAACTGCTGTTCTGAAAATTTTCAGGATTATGCGGGCGCAACAATTACGTTGATTCGCGGTGTTGAAATCCCAAGAATGGCATTCTGGCACGATTTAGGATCGTCAAGACGCAACTGTCAGGTTGATCCGTGGCGTTGGAATCCCGAGAACAAAGTGTTTTGCATGCTCCAGGGTCATCAAGAAACTGTCTTCCAACGTGGCAGTGCCCCCAATGGAAATGAATCGTTATAAAGGGCCTGCGAAGAGGAAGCTTGGAGGGCTGTTCCTCGTCGCGGTACCAAGCGTGACGGTAGAGTGGGCCAGGCGCTTTGCAGGAGAGTTCGTCACCGTTTGTGAGGTCTAAGCTAGGCATTTCCAATACTTGCACGGACTGATGGCTGGTGGGATTCAAAATGAGGATCTCGCCCTAACGCTGCGAACATCATTCTTGAATAACCACGGCCGAACGGATGGGTAGCGGGAGGAGGAGAGTGGGGGGGGCAAGCTAGGTGCGCCAGCGCCACATCTGACATCCTGTCCCTCCCTCCCATCCCTTCCCATTGCGCAGAGTGTTTCCATACCTCTTAAATCGGAGATTTCGCAGGGGAGGAACATCTGCAACTGAGCCAGGGTTCTGCGATTCATGTACCTTCTGGTTCATGGGCTTCATGCGCTTCGGTGTACCAGGGGCCTCATAGCTTGGGGAGCGCCCTCGGGAGCGGCTGATTTCCTTCTCCGCAGGGGCAAACGCCTCGCAGAGTTTCATAGTCCGCTTGGCGCGGAGGCTTAAACTGTCCGCCTGGCGCGGAGGACGGGGTAGCAAATATCTGGCTCGAAATGGCCCGAAGGGGCGCGTTCTGCAATGGCTTCCGCCTGGTTCGGGGGCAGGGCTTCAGGTTTCCCCCCCAGGTTGGGGCCCTGCGCTGGCCTCGCGGTCTGGGCCAGGACACACTTAAAGCCCGCCACCGCATCCTTGCGCGCTCTGGTGAAAGTTCGGTCACCATGTTGGCGTCTGGATCCTCCTGGGGAATGTGGAGTCGGTGCGGGCGCGTCGCGCACGGGGTTCTCTCGCCCGCCGCACCGGCAGCGTCGTGACTGCTGTCCCAACGTCGGCGCGCCCACTCCACCAGGGGCGAGGGCAGTAGATTTCGCCTGTCAGCGAACGCGTGTCACATTTGACCTGGAACTCCATTACCCCAGCACAGCACCCTAATAGCATCAACGGTGACCTGTGGGACCTGTGTGGCAGGTGGGAACTGCGGGACTTGGGCGACCTGTGGAACCTGTGGGACTTCTGTGGCTGGTGGAACGTGTGTGACATGTGGGGCCTGTGGGGCAGGTGGGAACTGCGGATGTGTGGGACCTGTGGGACCTGCAGGAATTCTGGGACCTGTGCGACGCTGAAGACCTTCGTAGCCTGTGAGGCCCATGAAATCTGCGACACTTGTGGCTCTGGGCCCTGTTGGAATTAGGGGACATGTGAGACCTGCGAGACCTGTAGGACCTGTGGCACTGGCGCGACCTGTGGGACCTGTAGGACCTGTGGGACCTGCGGGACCTGGGGGACCTCTATGGGACATGTGGTATATGCGACACCTGTTGCGACCCGTGGGGAATTGTTGAAGGGCGAGACAGGTATTGGGAGGGGGGAGGAGGGAGGGGGGGAGGGGGAGGGGAACGGGGAGAGCCAGGGGTGGGGGAGGTGAGGGGAAGGGAAGAGGAGAGGTAGAGGGGAGGGGTGGGGAAGGGGAGGAGACCGCACGAGCGAGCCTTGTCCTGGTAGATGCGCAGCTCCCACTCGCCGAGAACGCGAGCCAGCACGCACCACCTCTCGGACGGCGCGAGGGCGCGCATCTGAAGGCCAGAGGCAACAAAAGGCAGGGAAGCGTCGGGGGGGGGGGACAGGGAATTGAGGTGGGGAGGAGGAGGAGGAGGAATAATAGGAGGAGGAGGAAGAATAGGAGGAGGAGGGGAAAGAGGAGGAATAGGAAGAGGAGGGTAGGGAATAGTTGGGACAGTTGCACAGCACGTCGTGCAAAGGCGGGGTAAGGACGAGGAGCGAGGAGGGCGAGAAACAATTCAGCGGCAGGATAATCAAAAATATATGCCACGAGATGCTTCCTTAAGTTGTAGCCATCTCTCGCTCACGCAACCTATCAGCCGCTAAGGTCGTCTTGGGCGGCCCCACGTTGCAACGAGAAAGAGTAGGAGGAGAAAGAAAGGAGAGAGAAGAGTTAGGAGGATAAGAAGACCAAGGAGGGCATGAAGGTGGAGGAGACGGGGGGAGAAGAAACTGGCAAATGCGGAGGGCGAAGGGGGAATAAGGAAGAACATGAGTTTCATTGTTTCAAATGTGAGGGGCTCCCGAATTATCGGCACGTTCCAGACGTCTGGGAGGTGCTCGAAGTGCTTCGGGGGGTGATCGGCGTGATCGTAAACTTTGCGCCTCTGGACACATGCGTGCATGCCAACCCTTCTAGTTACAGCCCGCTTGATCATGCTTGCACTTGGCATGGCATCCACGATGGCACATTACGAATACGCACGGACCGCCTCCCTCTTATGACAATGTACCACCATTCACGCGCTCCTCAGCTTCTCTTTGTCCGTCGGACGGCAATTTGCCCCAGACGGGAGGAATGTCTGGAGGCAAGCGGTGGAGTCTGCAAACGCAACATTGCGTGCGCGAGAGGGTGGATCGAACATGTGGCTGGCTCCTGTGCACTTCGTACATACTGTCATGCATACGGCCCAAAGGGATTATCGAACATGCCTCTGGCTCGCGTTTTGTGACGCTTTCTGTGGGCCAGGGCTTGTATCCGACATGCGTGATGCACGCGTTTTCACGTACGTGCGATCTGCTCTGACTGGCACCTGGCATGTTTGTTCATTGTAAGCGCCCCACTTGGTTTGTTGACCCCTGTCCTTGGGATGGTCATCCCTGCTGTTTTCGGCTCTGGCGGAACAACGAGGAGGAGGAGGAGAAGGAGGAGGAGGAGGACGACGGGGAGGAGAAGGCAATGGCACTGGCATTGGTGCCTCGGCCGACGGGGAGGAGAAACAGCGGGAGGAAGGGGAGAAGGGGAGGAGAGGTCAGTGGGGAGAATCGGACAAAGTGGTAGGAGGGAGAAGGGAGAGTGAGAGAAAGACTTTGTTTGGGAAATGGGGATAGAGGAGAAGGAATATGTGCGCAGCATTCGATGCCTTGTTTCCTGCTTTCTACTTCCTCGTCACGCTGCTGGTGCTATTGCTTTTGCGTCTTCCTCCCAATCATCCTTCTCGTCGCCTCGCCTCCATCGTCATCAGCGCCACGGTCGTCTGCTCAGGACATGTTCCCCTTACGTATGCAGCGACCAACAACCTGGCTTGCAAATACGTTGCACGCCGCCTTGGTGTCCGTCCGTACGTCCGTCCGTTTGTCTGTCTTGCCAGCTCTGTGCGAAGACGTTGCCAGAATGGAAAAAAGTCGGGTGACGATAAATCGAGAATCTCTACGATCCGGCGGCTTTGGAAGATGTCTCGAACGCCGTGGCCTTCTCAGAGCTTTCCGGAACGCTCTGGAAGCGTTCCCGAACGCTTTCTATCCTCGTCCTAGCCGCGTCCGAGCACGTCGGTCTGTCTGTCTTGCCAGCTCTCTGAGCCGCGGCGCGCAGGGTTGTCCCAGCTATCGGACGCAGAGGCCACCGCCACCCTCTCCCTCGTCGGTGGCCCCGAGGCGGTGTTGGGGGAGAGGGTGGCTCCGCGGAGCATGACGGTGCAAGCCAGAAATATCCAGTTGCTGTTCCAGGAGGGGGTGACACAATAAAAAATTCCAGCAAGGATGCGCAGTAAGGATGCAAGCCCCTTGGACGCCCACGTCGAGATTCTCCAAAGGGGCTGGCAATCGAAAGGGGCATAGGACGGACCGAGAAGGCGAGGATGCAAGGGGTACCCTTGGGAAGGTTACCCATCCATACTAAAGTTTCGACTGTGGAGGATAGCGCAATAGACAAACCTATAGAAACATAATTTCTGGAAGTCCGCGCAAATGTTTTCGATCCGCGCTGGACACGGACACCCTCCCTCGTGCACGGAGCGCGCCAGGGGCGGCGCCGGCGCCGCCAGGGGACCCAGAGCCGATCCAAGAATTCCGCGCGGAGCTCCGGAAACACATGGTTATGCGTTGCTGTTCTTCTTCGAGCTCAATGGGAAGGCACGAACACCGATCCACAATGTGCTGCGTGCCACACCTCGCAAAGTGGGCCCTGATGCTCGCTGCGGTGCGGACCGCAATTCTCACCTCGCCGGCGCTGTCGTCGTCGGTGTGGTCGTGGTGCGTGCGTGTTGCTCCGCTTGGGACGCACTACCGCTGCGCAGTGACCGCCACCACCACCTCATCCTCGTCCTCCCTCCTCGATGACCAGCGCATCAGCAACGCCCTTGTGCAGTGACAGCCACCACCACCACTTCATCCTCCTCCTTCCTCGATACCCAGCGCAGAAGCAACGATGCTATGATTGTCAGAATCCTGTGAGCCTCTCCTCCTCCTGCGCCTCTCTCGGTACTCCCCTGTGCGCCGCTATATCGGCTCACAAGGGCCCTTGAGCTATCATGGCGCGCTGGTGACGGACGCGCCCACCCCTCCGTAAAAGGAAAGAGAACGTGCTCTCTTCTAGCACGGGTCCCCTATTTGTACCTCGTGTCTCTCTGTATCCATACAGCCACTCCTGTACAATCCACAGAGGCAGAACGGGTGTTCTTAATTTTCAAAGTCGAATCGCCCAATTGCGAAACTCACCCTTTTATTGTTATGCGTCTCTGCCCGCGTCGCGCTCCGCTTCCTTTTTGCTCTCCCTCGCTCTCTCGCTCTCTCTCACTCTCTCTCTCTCTCTCTCTCTCTCTCTCTCTCTCTCTCTCTCCTTCCCACCCATTGAAAATCCATGCCCAAGTAACTCTCTCTCTCTCTCTCTTTCCGAATCCTGCTGCAACCATCTTTAGCTTCGAGCTCTCCTGGTGCCCAGGCCGCGCTCATAGCACCGAGGAGTGGCGGACGGTGGCGCGGGCGCGCCGCTGCTCATGTGATGCGGGTAGAACATACTCTCTCTGACCAGTTCCACTCCGGCCAACCACGTGGCTACGGGAGTGCTGGGTTCTTGTGGTCGTCCTTCCTCGCGGGAGACATCCAGCCCCAAGGTCTATTCCAGATCCAGCAGGTGTACCTCATTCTCTTCGTGTGCGTCCGCATGCTTCCTCAGATTGAGATTGACTGTCTATTCGACTCGGACACCGTGGCCCTTGCCATCCTCGATTTCTCGGACTACTGCGTCGTACGTTCGCCGCCTACTAGGCTGCTCCTCCTATGATGGGAACACAGTGCGCCAGCTAGTTGACTGGTCATGGTCCCTTGCTACACAGCCGTCTTCGTCTTCTTCTATTGCGGCCATTTCGTTTGCTTTGGCTATCTGCGCATCGAATATTGGTTACAAAGGTGTATCTGAATGTAAACTCCGTGGATCGGCACTCTACACCGTCCTCTCGAGCTTCCTCATGGTGTCGGGTGTCCTGAGACTCAGATGGGCATTGCAACACCAGTCTGGGTGCAAGTGGATTCGTTATGCCTTACCCTTTCTTCAGCCCGAGTGGCAGCATGCTGCATCTGTTCCTCACGATAATCTTGTGTTCCGCATGGCACGAGCATCAGTGTTGGGGCCAGTTGGTGTGTATGACGCGGTGGTCTACATCTTGGCGTCCTTCTCGGCGATTTACTGTGGGAAGACTGCTCTTTCCAGGAAAGGCCTTCCTGGCGTCTGCGCCAGGGTGGCCGAACACGTACGCTGTCTTCTGCACCCATGCAAGCCACCAGGTGACCGTCCAAGGTATCGTATGCTCAGACGAAATCTGGGCTCACTCTTCTTCCTCCCTGTGGTTTGGACGTCCTCGAGATCATCGGCATTACTACTTGAGGCTTTCGCACTACGTCAACTCGCGCCTACAGCCAATGCAGCAGACCGCTGTGAGGCTTCATCAGTACGACTACGCAGAGGACAACGCTACTCTTCGGGCATAAGACAAAACGCCCGCGTCGTCGCCCTCCCTCATGGCGACGTTTGCGTCGCCCTGCTCATTGTTTACCCTCGATGTGGTCATCATGTTTCCCGTGTGACCCACGGCAGCGTGATAAAACTCTTTTGCAAAATATGCTTCCAGGTATTCTATCAGAAGAAGGTCCATATAGTGCTCTCTATATCCGCCACCAGAGGGAGATGCTCGCCTCGGAAGGCACGTGTGGCCCTATCTATTTGTTTGCTTATGATCGAGTTGGTCTATTACTAGCTTGGCTGGCATGTTATCGTCCCCATGCGCGTCGTCCTCCGCGGCCAACGCCTCGCCTGGCTGACATGATCTATCGGGCTGCGAGCCTGGCCCCAGAGTTATTGCGCAGCTATCACCGCGTGTATTCAGCTTCTTTGGAATTAGATAGATGGCTATCCCAACTTCGGCTGCCAAGTCTACGTGTTCGCCAGATTCGTGTACCTTCCGCTCTACGTGACCATCGCATGCTTGAGCTCTTTAAATCGTGTGGTCGCCGTTGCATCAGCGGCGTCAAAGTCCTGAATACCCAGCGTTGGCTTCTCCCTCGCCTGAAGTATGGTTTTGAGAAGACTCCTATTTGGAAAAATCGTGTGACCGCCCCTCGTGTCTTCCACACATTCAAGGTCCATCATTTTCCACATGTTCCTGAAGCCTCCCCTGTTCCCCCTCGCCTCCTTGGTGCTGCTCCAGGGGTGTGGCTACGTCCCCGTTTACGACATATGCCGCATGCCGTGAGGAGCTGTACTCGTGGGCGTC